TTGATATCGATAGGTCAGTAAATCGATCACGTGATCGATTATGAGCATCTTCACTCCATCAGGTCGGGTACAATCGACATAGAAGAATTCATATTGGGAATCGCTTGGTTGGCACGATCCCAGAGTAATTTGAATAGCCCCCGCACCCCCACGGATGAGCCTCAACTTCCACGGAGCCATCCAGTTAGGGATGGTCGAAGCATCAAGCTGGCTTGGTAAGGATGTTCCCGTTAATCTCACTTGAGAAGATTTAGTACCGTCGTTATGTGTGTAGTAGTAGTGTAGCGAAAGTTCGTGTATTCGCGTTGGCACGCAAATGTATTTGTCTGGTCATTTGACTCTGTTGTTGTATTCCATTGGTGTTCCTGAGTCGCGACTGTACACTTTTGGTAGGAGCTCTGCCCCTCGCACGGTGTTGGTAGCTAAGAAGTGGGGAGACGATGATGCAACGGAAGCCTTGGTGGAAGTGGCTAACTGGGTCAGGAATGAAAGGGGACTAACAGTCCTACTTGATCCTAATGATCCTGATGGTAGTAGAAAACCCTGGTTCGAATCCCACCGGCGGTATTCTGTGGTCCAGCAGAGGATGTTCCAGGCTGTGTGGTATGATACCCTCGTTTCAGTTGCAGCACAACGTGATCGAGGCCCGTTGTCGAAGTTTAGGTGTCTAGGGTGCAGGAAGAAGTGTGTTGAGGGAGATGGTGGAGAGGTAGATTCCCACTCAAGGGTTGTGGTTTCGAGGTGATCATTTCCTCTATGTAGGGCGTTCGTATGGTGATGGCAGATGGTAAGGAAGTGATGCTGGCGGACCCTGATACGTACGATTGCGAACCTGTGATGGTCGACCTGGTTATTTGCCTCGGTGGTGATGGCACTGTCCTGAGAACTATTATGTGGCTTGAAAGTAAGTAACCAGTTTTAGGATGGGCACTACTTGTTAGAGAGAATTCTGAAAAAGTCGTTCGTCGAAAGGTTGTGATGCGGTATATATTTCCTCCCTAGTGGAAACGAAAGGGAGGAAATGCATTTGCCTCATGGAGTTCTGTTGCGGTTGCTCGCGGCCATTTTACGTTTCAATCGTCGTAATCAGGGAGATTAGATCTTTCAGAAGAGTATCAGCATATCCAAACTATATTAGTGATCAAGATTCGGAGCAGGAAGGCAAGTTTGTGTCCTATCTCAGCCGACAACTTGTATCGACGTGGTAACATAGTATCGCTGATGCCTCCACCGGTGGTGGCGTTCGCTCTCGGCAGTCTAGGGTTCCTCACACCACACTCTTTCGAAAAGTAAGCTCCCTTCTTTGCCTTAAT